CATCGCGCGATGCAATCGCAGAGTCTGACCGACATCTTAACCTAACAAATTTCACCAATATTCCTGTTATTGTCCTTGCCAGTTCTCACCTTTGGCTCCGAGAAAGAAACGTTGCAGTTCTACTCGCTCTTTGCCGATAGTTTGCGACTTGCCGAAGTCGACGGCGCTGCTGAATGGAGGCGAGAATCCCTGCAAGCGATTACGGACACAATTCAAACGAAGCTCTGGATCTCCCAGAATCCGAAGAACTGTAAACGGAGGAGGTAAGTTGCAAATACAACAAATTTCGTACGCAAGCTTTTCCTTTTCAGATTTGTAGTCTGTGAAATGAGAGACAGCTGTGGCTTCGGCTGTCAGGTCCATCATCTTGCTTATTGTCCTACAGGTTGCATTCGCATCTCGACGAACCCTCATTCTCAATGACAACGGCGTAAACTGGAGGTTTATTTTATACTTTCCACAAACAATTGCAAAATCTAGTAGAACCTTCGAGCCATATCTGGCTATGTTTAATACCATTGTTTGAAGCGGGGAAACTTTTGTGTCTATCCTGGTATTGATTACTTAACTCTTCGAAAATGAAAAGAATTCTGGAGAGCTATGAATTTGTTCTTAACAGGTACCACAGGAAGGGATGGACCGCGATGTTTGAAGAGATTAGCCGGTGCACTGTTCCGATGAAGGTCAAGCCTTTACACCAATTCTTGCCTATTCCCAATCGAAGCAAAGACTGAAATTGTTGGATAAATTAGAGTTAACGATAAATCCGCAGGAGGAAAGGGGAGAAAATCGCCGAAGATTAAGAGCGATGTTCTTCTCTGGGTTTGATTGACGAGTGCTCGATTGGCCGGTACAGAATCGCTCCTTTGTGACACTATTACCGTTTACTGCTTTACAGTTCGAAAAATGAGCTAGAATTTTTATCGTAATTTGTCTTTTAATGCAGATCTCGCTACAAAACTGCCACAGGACGGTAATGTGGTCAGTAGAGTATCACATCCGTTTACTTGGAAACCGCCTAGTGCCCGCGCTGTAGGCGCTATCACTAGAAGATCTTTCCATTAGACCGCGGAATTTGCTGAAACATTTCCTGGGGAAGTAGTGACCTGGCGAGCACAAATATTATAGTCGTTTGAAGTGAAAGCGCTCCGAACACGCGCCACATGCGCCACGGTCAAACAAGTGGGGTATCATGTGGGTCATTCACTATCCTGCTAAAGAGGAATACACGATAAGAACGAAGGTCACTGAAGGTCGAAATTACCTAGTTGCGGTGTTCCTTGGGGTGTTGAGCGACGCTCAACTGGCAGCAAAAATTTAACCCCGGCGATCTAGCATGGCTCACTCTTGGCGCGGTTGGCGGGACGCCCACCGACTATCTAATCACTCGCCGCAGGTCTATACGTAGTGATTAGATAGCAGAGAGAGCGTAGTGTTGAAGAGGGCACAGCGATGAGAGTCGCATCAATGCGCAAATCAACGGGCAAGGAAGGGGTCCCATTTCTCGGGTTTCGGGCCGTTTCAAATGGTTTCTTCTTCATCCCTGCTCCACTGACCACCTCTACCCTTATTTCCAATGAGCTAACTTTTCATCGTAATTCTGCCTTTATGTGATGCGCGCATTTCAAAGGTCAAATCAGCTCCGAAGCAAATTTCTTGCAAAATTTGATCTGCGCTCAAGAAAATTTCGTGAAAACTCGGCTAATTTTTCCAACAGCGACCAGTGAAGGGTGATTGGTGTCATGAGATTTTAGTGCTCACTTGAGTGGCAGAAAGTCCCAAGGACGATTATAAGACGGGAAACAAAAACGGCGACGTTTTAATATTTTGCTATTTCAGAGATTGAAAGGGCTGCCGAAGGTGAGTGTACTTGACTACTGAATTCACTTGAATAGTTATTCGAAACACAACGGCTCTCATAACAAAGTTCGATCGAACAGCTTTGTTATATGTTCCTCCAAAGCACTTAAAGCAACAGTCCCAGCAGGGTTTTTACCTTCGACACTAATGGTGTGGAACGATGCGCTAGCCCTAGTCAAGAACATAAGAAGTGTGACTGAACAAAAAACTCACCTTGGAAAGCCGCTAGAAAGGGAGCTGAACGGCTTCGAAGTGGGCGTGGTTGGAAGTCGGCCGAGGGGATTGCCTGCTGGGACTGTTGCTTTTAAAAAAAAATGCGAATAAGGGTCACGCAGTTGCAAATCTTTGTTCCAGGCCAATAGTTACACCAAACTCGAATCAGATTTGCGGCAGTTCATTCAACTTGATATTCTTGACTCTAGCTCCTACAGGTGAGCTTTTCAAATCGTATGTTTGAACTTATTTTGGGCCCTATACCTGCCGGTAGAAGGTGGAGTGGTTGTGGAGTTTAATATGGTACCGCCTTTACCGTAGTTTGAAATAGCAGGGCATTACAAATTAAGGGCATGGCGGTCAAAAATGCAGCGGGGAGAAAATCAAGGAAACGAAGAGAAATGGACCCCTTCTCCGCCCTTTGATTTCCGCTTCAGACGTTTCGGCGACCGAGGCTCGTTAGCATGGGTTAACCCCGACAGCCGGTATAAGACCAACAAACAGCACGGTTTGATTGATAGCGCTCCACATAGAAAAACTGGAAGATGCCGCCGCTTGAAACAAAATGCCCTCTTAAAATAAAGTGGCAAACGATGGCGATAATAGCACCAACACGCCTGTTGCTACTCAGCCGGTGGTCGACAGGCAGCAGTGCGGGTGCCTAGACTGCTGGGGCATACCCTTCGTTGAGAGGGACTCGCATCGTAGCGCACCCTTAGGGAGGCTGTCTGCATCTCAAAAAAGGGTGTATTTCCTTTCTTGGAGCTCCGACTTTATCGTGGGATGGTATCGATGAAGATGGAAAGGAAAGAAGGATGGCAGAGAAAAGAAAGTTGGCAGTTTAGCTGAAAATTTCAGACCGGAGTTTCTCCCGCTGTCTATACCGAAATCGCTCTCTGGTGAACTCATCATGCTGCATTCCAATCCATCGGCATTCTTCACCAGTCAGGTATGACAAAGATCATGATGACGATTTGTCATGGTTCATATCATAAGGGAGTTTTGAGTAGTACAATGGAAAGGTCCGAAGTAGAGCAAAGCTGAAGGAGGATTTTACAATATTATGCAGCTCATCGGATCCCTGTCTTCCCTTTGCGCATTGATGCGACTCTCATCGGTGCTGCCCTCTTCAACGCTAACGCTCTCTCTGCTGAACGGCTAGAGACTCAGACACGAGACGACGCGAGAGGGGGCGTACCGCGCCAATAGCGCGCCAATTGGGCCGCGGGAAGGCCATGCTAGATCGCCGGGGCATATCCTCGATGCGAATTGCGTGTCGGTCCGCACCCTCAAGGGCCCCACCTAGGTAAGTTTCACCTTCTACCTTCGTCCTTATCGCAAATTCATCCAATGCGACACAAGGACATAAATAAAAAAGGCTTTGTAATATTCTGAGTTAGGCAGGTGTCGCACTTTGCGAACAATTGCGCCAGAGCTACGGGTGGTGTCCCAGCGATCCCAGATATGCGGCAGCGACGAGAAAAATTAGGAATCGCTGGCGCATCCCTCGATCTTTGCAGAGTAACGGCCAGTCGTGCGATTCACTAACGATTGGCCGTTGAGCCTGGCTCTCGACTAATGGTAAGTAGTAATAGAAATTGGGATATGTTAGATCGCCATCGACTTTTGTGGGAACAATTTCATCTCGACATGAGCCACAGGTCGGCTCTTTTTACCCAACTTTTGGGCAAATAGTTCTTTTCTCGGTGAAATGACTCGTTTTTCTTCAACTCGACCTAAGGAAGCCCGTTAGTAACGTACACGTCTTGTGAGGCTATCAGTATCGAAGTACAATCCTTGAAAGGCTGTTCTTGGCCTCATACGATATTCACCTGATATCGCATGAGACCAAGAACAGGTCTATCACAACAGTCACATTCTATCAGAACAGTCTGTCGACCAAGAACATTCTTATCACATTTAAAATTTTGTGAGCCGGGTCAAGCGAGGCGTCGAGGAAAACTTCTGATAGGACCTTCCCCCCCCCCCCCCACCTCCTGTAGCGACGGTTGCCATTATCCGCCTAAAATTGGCAAATGGCAAACCAGCGCGGTCACAGATCTCATCCAGGCTATCGATGCTCTGCTCCCGGAACCTACGACACCTCCCTCACTCCAACAGAACCTAGCGCGACTCCCCCCAGTTGAGGATTTCTCGGCATACGCTTGATCCTGGTTGAGACAGATAGAGTACATGTGCGTACAACTACATAAGTATGAAATTAGACTACAGGGCAAATGACTTGGTGCACGGTCGGCTACTGGCTGCATATGCGACAACCAACCATGAGTACGGAGTCAATTCAAGTACAAAGCATTATTTGCTTTAAAAAGGAATCGTGTTATTGGAGAACCTCTTTTATACATAACAGAGAACTCCTTCCAGTTTGTTTCGTACGTGATGAAGATGAAACCTGAAGTTGAGAGGCTGTGAATTCACAATCTTCTCAAATTCCTTTCGATGCCGGTAAGTTTTTCAACTAGTCACTGAGGCAGGGAAAGGTACAACGCCAACAAGAAAACTCACGCTGGAAATGTTTGAAAATCCCATGGAACTTGAAAGAAGACTAATGTAGAAATTTTATTGAATAGATTCTTGGACGCTGATTACAAATGGACACTAAAACTGCTACGTGAACTTTGTAAGAAAGTTGTGAGCCTTAAAAGTTGCAAAAGAACGCTAATGATGAGGTGCAACCTATGTGGAAACACGGTTGCTTTTTGCCTGGAACTTGTTCTATAAGGGTAAATGGGTGCCCTGATTACGAATATGAGACTCGTTTTTGGCGCAGAGCCACGGCGACTGTGATTCCACCAGGTAAGCTCGCCTCAGTAACGTTTTTTGCCAACTTTGAAGGCTCATAACTTTCTTAGGAAGTTCACGTAGCAGTTTTAGTGTCCATATTTGTAATCAGCGTTCAAGACTCTATCGATACATCTAGGTCTCCTTCCAAAGTTCCATGGGAAGTTCAAAGCATTTCCTGGTAGACAGGAGAATATGACTTGAACTTGCCTTCATGAGTCGAAACGTTGTTATACCCTCAACCGTCAAGGTTTCTTAAAGAGTTGACCTTAACGAAATGAAAGCAAAAGTAAAAGCAAAGGTAGAGTGATCATGAAAAATGTCGAAACAGGAAGGTATACACTTGCACTGAGATTTACTACAAAAATTTTGTTGGATAAGGTGGAGCATGGCCTAGACGTAAGGTACGATAGTGGGCGAGACGCGACCAACACGGAAATGATCGAGTTATTTTTGGCTTTTAATTTGTTACGGTGGGACCAAGATGCGGTCATAACTTGCTTTAATTGTGGGGACATCTACCGCATGTGGGTGGTGGGCCTAGGCGCACAAAGCAAGATTAGGATTAGGTTATCGTGCAGGTCTTTGAATCGTGACCGATCAATTAGAATACTGTAAATATTGTCTTTTCTGCAGATGGTATCAGCGTGGTGAACCGATCAGTTAGCGAGCACCCTAGTAGGGGCTGAAGCTCTAAAGGGCCACATGTCATCGAGAGATATCGTATCAGAAAGCTAGCAATGGTCTGCGGTTACGTCACGTGATTGCAGCAGACGGTCTTTATATTTGGCGAGGGAAGAAGACCTGCAGGAAGTACCACTTCTGGGCAAAAGAAAAGCGCTAAACCATTTCACACCGGCGAAATGTGGCTAGGGGAGGCAGTCCCCGCCGTGGCATATTCTTAGCTCAGTGTTGTGCGCCAAATCCGTGAGCCAGGGGTTTGGAGGTGAGGGCAGTCAATTGACATGCGTGAAAACTTAACATTTTCAAGTTTCCACAATGTCATGTGGACTGGACCCCCCACCCGAGCCACATTGAGCCTCCTGAGCCCCTTATGATTCCAGGACCGATCGTTGGTGTGCATGTACGTCGCACAGACAAACTAATCGAGGAAGCGAAATATCATCCTGTAGAAGAGTACATGGCGTGGACAGACATCTACTTTCAGGTAAGCCTGTTTTCACATTTCACACTGGAGTGCAAAACTTAAGGACGAGACAGATGAAGTATCATAACCTTTTGATAGCTTTGTGGACCGTTTAACGGTTCCTGTTAACTGCTTTCTTTAGTGCCCTGTGGCAGCTCTTTGTATGTGTGGTTAGGTTCCATAGAGTCATGTTACGCGCCAGTAACACGTCGTTGGAAAAGCTACGTTCGTCCCTAAGTTTTGCACACCAGTGTAGGATGTGATAGTAGCGCGAATGTCTGCGTGCGTGCCGCGTAGTCCCAAAAGTTATACTGACGTAGAGTCAACGTTCACTACAGATACAAGATCGCTTACGGAAGCGTAATGTGACGCGCCGAGTGTACATCGCATCCGACGATCCCACGATCCTGCCAAAAATCAAAAAAATGTCTGTGATATTGTTAGCCATTTAAAGGGCAAGGTGTTTGCACAGGATCTTTTTTTCGATTCTATTTAGGTACCCAGACTACAAGGTGTACGGTAACGTTCGTTTTGCCGAGGCAGCCGAGAATCGCTACAACGAGCGATCGCTACGTGGACTTCTGAGCGATGTGGTGACGCTCAGCAAGTGCGACTACCTCGTTTGCACATTCTCTAGCCATGTATGGTTTCCCAAGCGTGGTTCCATGTCTTTAAGTGATTTTGTTTTTCTTTGTTACTTGTAGTTCTGCCGAGTGGCGTACGAGCTCATGCAAGTCCGACGTGGTGATGCTGGCGAGAATTTCCATTCCCTCGATGAGGACTACTTTTATGGTGGACACAGGCTTCACTTGCGTATGTCATTACGCCTGTTATTGCCCTTTTCCAAATGACCAGACACTTCTCTTTTGCGGAAAGGCCTGCTCTTTTTTTAGAAAGATCTGGATTTGGAATAATACAATCAAGGCTAAGAACACAATCGTTAAGAGTTTTTTACAGAGTGAATTTTAAATTTTTTAATATATCGCTTGAATACTGTACGA